TGATGCTTTCCAGATGTGGAGGCTGTTGTCGCGGTGACGTTATCCATGCATGGGAGTGTTCGTTGTAAATTTTTCAGTTCATTATCTGAGCTAAGGCTCTCGCCCTGCAGCTGTTTCTGATCCTCTCCTGATGTTTACGGTTTCTCTTCTGTGACGTCTTAGGAGGATCTCTGGCCCAGATCGCTAGCTGAGGGTCCAGCTGCAGACCTGGTTCAGACACTTGGGATCATTACAATTAATTACCCAGAAAAAAAGTGATACAACTACAGCTTGCTAAGTCTCGGAGACTGCTGGCAGAGTTAGAGCCCAACTTAAGAGCTTTTTGTCTTAAAAACAAAATGGTTATAACTTTTTAAATCAAATCTAAAGAAAAAGTTTGCTATTTTCAAGCTATTTTTAACAGTTCAGCAAGTTTTGATTAAAACTAAAGATTTGAGGAAAGCGCCTTTAAACATAAACCTCCTTTTATGAAGTGGGCCTCAGAGGAAACACATTTTCAATCATATTCAACGATGACAGAAAATAACGGCGTCCCAAACTGAGAAAAAAAGTCTCAGTGTATTTAAATTAATTGTAAATGACTTCTGTGTGGAAAAAAGTGAACTTGATCTGATAAGCTGATTTGATACTTTAGACAGGGAAGCAAATGATGAAACGGTTCAAAGGTCAGGGATGCAAACTGATTTGAACAGACTATCAGTGAACGCAGCGCCCTTAGTGTGCTGTAAGTGCTGTAAGAGGGAGACGTGTGTGGCTGAGGGCAAAGTGTGGAGTTTATCTCAAACCAGTCACCTCAGATCCTCTGGGGAGAACGTTGACACAACAACCCAGCTCAGAGGCAAGTTGAACCCCGTGTTATTGGGAGTTTCCACCTTTTAAATCTAGGAACATCTATTTCTAAATAAACAAATCCATCAAAACAAACTTTACTGTTCCTGGTGGTGGGTTAGTCATTGTTTTTTCTCTCCCTCTTTCGCGTTTACTTTTATATTGATTTTGTCTCAATGAAAACGCTGTTTGCAAACATTTTTACTAACTAATCCAAGCACATTGGGCCTAAACTACACCTCTGCAAAGAGCAATATATGGTTCCTGCTCCCAAAACATGATGCTGTGCACTGCTGGTCAGCTGGCTGAAAGAAGCCTTCCACAGTTCTCCCAAATGGAAATATTTTTCATTCTAAGAAACAGGCGATGCAAAAAAAAAAGAAAAAAGGATGCCTTTAATATTCACTGAGGTGATCCTGTTTTAAGACTGAATAATATATCAAAGTTGATATAATATACACTATATTGCCAAAAGTATTTGCTCACCTGCCTTGACTCACATATGAGCTTAAGTGACATCGCGTTCCTAATCCATAGGGTTCAATATGACGTCGGTCCACCCTTTGCAGCTAGAACAGCTTCAACTCTTCTGGGAAGGCTGTCCACAAGGTTTAGGAGTGTGTTTATGGGAATTTTTGACCATTCTTCCAGAAGCGCATTTGTGAGGTCGCACACTGATGTTGGACGAGAAGGCCTGGCTCTCAGTCTCCGCTCTAATTCATCCCAAAGGTGTTCTATCGGGTTGAGGTCAGGACTCTGTGCAGGCCAGTCAAGTTCATCCACACCAGACTCTGTCATCCATGTCTTTATGGACCTTGCTTTGTGCACTGGTGCACAGTCATGTTGGAAGAGGAAGGGGCCAGCTCCAAACTGTTCCCACAAAGTTGGGAGCATGGAATTGTCCAAAATGTCTTGGGATGCTGAAGCATTCAGAGTTCCTTTCACTGGAACTAAGGGGCCAAGCCCAGCTCCTGAAAAACAACCCCACACCATAATCCCCCCTCCACCAAACTTTACACTTGGCACAATGCAGTCAGACAAGTACCGTTCTCCTGGCAACCGCCAAACCCAGACCCGTCCATCAGATTGCCAGATGGAGAAGCGCGATTCGTCACTCCAGAGAACGCGTCTCCACTGCTCTAGAGTCCAGTGGCGGCGTGCTTTACACCACCGCATCCGACGCTTTGCATTGCACTTGGTGATGTATGGCTTGGATGCAGCTGCTCGACCATGGAAACCCATTCCATGAAGCTCTCTCCGCACTGTTCTTGAGCTAATCTGAAGGCCACATGAAGTTTGGAGGTCTGTAGTGATTGACTCTGCAGAAAGTTGGCGACCTCTTCGCACTATGCGCGTCAGCATCCGCTGACCCCGCTCCGTCAGTTTACGTGGCCTACCACTTCGTGGCTGAGTTGCTGTCGTTCCCAAACACTTCCATTTTCTTATAATACAGCTGACAGTTGACTGTGGAATATTTAGGAGCGAGGAAATTTCACGACTGGATTTGTTGCACAGGTGGCATCCTATCACAGTTCCACGCTGGAATTCACTGAGCTCCTGAGAGCGACCCATTCTTTCACAAATGTTTGTAAAAACAGTCTGCATGCCTAGGTGCTTGAATTTATACACCTGTGGCCATGGAAGTGATTGGAACACCTGATTCCAATAATTTGGATGGGTGAGCAAATACTTTTGGCAATATAGTGTATGTAAATCAACTTTGCTATTGTTATTTCATTGAAAGTAGAATAAAGCAAGCATTAGCTGCCTTTTTCCCTTACAATACTTAAAAAAAAAGACAGCTTTTTAATATCTTGTGACCGTTTTCCCTTTTTATCATTCAAGTGGGACGTTTTGAGAAATTTACCTCTGCAACTAAGAAAAATAATAATGCCTTACTCCTACAGGAAAATACTTCAAAGTAGGCATATCAGATTTGGTCATTTTGTAGAAACTTTTAAAGTTGTAGGTATTTAGTCAAATTCCTTTTTATTGGAAGAAACCAAAGGATTCAGCTTATAAACTGGTCAACGGTTATTAATATGCCTCCAAGTAAATATGGAGTCTATTTGTTTTGTTTCGTGTTGTTTTGTATGCCCTGCATGGGATGTCTGTTGGTTTAATATGAAAAACGAATAAAAAACAATTTGATTAATAATATGCCTCCAAAGGGTTTGTAAAGTATTTTCCAGAGAGGTATATTTAGAAATGCATATCTTCCATTATCATCACAGAAAGATAAAAATCACCAAGAGAGAGCTTATTTTGTAGCTTTATTGATCTCTAGAGGTGAAAAATTGTTGAGGAATCTGCTCCTCAAACCTGCTTGAATTAAAAAAGAAGGGAAATACCACAGACACCAAGGAGCCCTGCATGCCTAGAGGCATTCCCTGACAGGAGGGGTTTTAAAAAAAAAAGACTTTTACTTTATTTAAAAAAAAAAAAAAGTCTTTTTTTTTAAAAGAAGGATCCAATTTCCTGGCATTTAAACCACCAAGAATCTAAAAAAAATCCTCTATAACATACGTTTCTTTTAAACTTCGCAGTGTTATTGACATATTACAAGATAATATAACTCGTATTTATTTTATTTGTGGCTAAATTATTCTCAAATTGATTTTATCTTGAGTAAATCAAAAAAGTATGATGCAATTGAGTTTTTTTAGGAGCACAAATAAAGCAAACATTTTTGGGGTTTAAGGTGAACGTTATTTAAAATGAGACGGTCTGTCGAGGAGATACAGGAGGGTGGCTGCCAGCAGGACAAGAGAGGAGGAGGAGGAGAGCCGCTCCCTCCTGATGAAAACAAACTGGAGGAAGGGGCACGGGAGCCGGCCGGGCTCCAGGAGGCCCAAAAACGCTCCTTCAACCGAAGAAGTCCCACTACTAACCGCCTTTTCAGGGAACTAGCATAAACAGAAGCAGTGAAACGCAGTGAAAATAGCGAGAAAAGCGGTACGGGAGGGAGGGGGGGGGGGACTTACCCGGCCACTTATGCGCCTTTTACCCCGATTAAAAGCTCCGATACAAACGGTTATTATCCAGTTTCAATCTTCCTTTATTCCCCACGTTGCTCCTTGTTATCAATCCAGACGGTGGTGCTGATTTTAGTCGGTGTTTTTAGGATCCGTCACGGTCCATCTGCTCCGGGATTCCGTGGCCTGGCAGTCCACGGCTCTCTGCTTTAAAGAAGCTGTGACGCAGGATGAGTAAAGTCAGCAATTAGAAATAAAACACACCACTTCCGGCCATACCTACACAATAAAAGCACCGAAATACAACTAGAGTAAAAAGTAACGATTATAACACTAGATGTAGTTCCTCCATGTGTGCATTTTTAGATGTATTCATAATCTAGATTGCTTTAAAGTAATACATATGATCATAATCCTGATATATGCAAATTATGTTTTTTTTAGCTATATTATTCAAAATTGGTGTAGATAAGGTTTTCTATCACAAGTTTATTTAATCAAACAGCTGAACATTATTTTTCATTATTTAGCGTGGATCATCGAAAGTCTAGCATATTTAAATGCTTCATTAGGAGCCAATTTGTTAAAGAGTTAACTGACACTTTTATTTTGAAATCAAACAGTCATCTTTTAATAAGCTGATAAAATTTAATTGACAAAGCAGCTTTTTTTGGTTGTGTTTCCGTTTTGGACCAAGACATCCATCCAGTTTTCCCACAGCTTTTTCTCTTTTTTTTGTACATGAGTTCAGCGGGAAACATTTTAAATTAACACTCCTACGTCCTTTTTTACGGAAGAGGGTAAGGGCCACTGAAAAAATAAAAAAGTTAACAGATTTTTAAAAAAAAACATTATTTCAGTTTCAGTTTAATATGGAATCTCAGAATTCTGACTTTTTTCTCAGAATTCTAAATTTAATCTCAGAATTTTGTATCTTAATTTAGATGGGAATTCTAGGAATTCTGAGAAAAAAGTCAGAATTCTAATATTAAAGTCATGATTCTAATATTAAAGTCAGAATTCTGAGAAAAAAGTCAGAATTCTCATTTAAAAGGCAGAATTCTGATTTTTTTGTCATACTGAAATAAAATGTAAAAATCACTTAACCTTTTTTTATTTTTTCAGTGGCCCTAATCCTCCTCCTCAATTTTTTTTTATTTGAGGGTATAGAGAGAATAAAGTAGACCAGAAAATAAATGAACAGCACGTCTTTTATTCCACCAATGTAGGAAAATAGATTCACATTAATGTTCTGGCTTATTTCCTCCGTCACTCTTTCTTATTTCACAACAAAAACAGGGCAAATTAAAGGTGCATTTTAATCGAAACGATCATCTCCAACCGAATACAGCATTTTTTTTCCCGCCTTCCACCATCATTGATAGGTAAAGTGCAAAATAAAATAAGATTTAAAAAAACAAAACAAAAGCCAGCAGGTGAACATAACACATTTACAAGTTATAAAGAGAACCCAACAAACGGCCACAGGAAAGAACATGCAAGAAGCTGGCAGTGTCTTACACAAATAAAAAAATTAAAAGAAAAAAAAAATTAGGGGGTAAAACTGCACATCACTGAGCTGTACAACTGTATGAAACAGCAAAGTCACACAGCAATAAGCAAAACAGAAGGAGTAAATAAAACCAGGGTTAAATTTTGTAGAACATTTTAAGAGCGATTAAAAAAAAGAAGCTGTGCCATGTGTTCAATTCCCACTCAAGGACTACATTACCCAGAGTTCCAGGCAGTAAGCAGTGGCCAAAACCAAAGTCTTCCTTCTCAGGGCCAAGTTCTAAAATATATCTCCTTTTTTTAATAGAAATTCGCGTTTTTCGTGAATGTTTATAAAATCTTGAGTGGGCTTTCAACAGCAGACAGCTTCCTTCATATCGGACAGAGTTCACCATCATTACATTAACTGCAGGGTTGATCAGATCACTCCAACAAACATCTCGTCATTTCGTCACCTTCAGTCTCAAACTGGCTTTTGGCTTCAGTTCAATATTACTCTTATAACTTATAGCAAAATCTTGATTGAGAAACTTTGTATATAAAATAAGCCACTTTAACATTTTTTATTACTTTTGGAGGTCCTCCAAATTTAGCCCCAATTCAAATCTAATTGGCTGAACCCATAATTCAACAGGGTTTTTATAACTACTCAAACACTATCTGACTGGTTTTGATTTTAATATGTCAGGCTGGAAATAAACTATGTAAATATTTAATTTACCTCAATAAATGCAGGTTAAAGTTTATATACATTAGGTTTTAGATATATTAGTAAGAGAGTTAAGAGACACTAGATTGTGAACCAGAGGTGCAATCAGAGAGCGTTTGTTTAACTTGGTCTGATCCACCAGCACCAGCGCACCGATACCCGAATCCCGATTTATTATCTTTGCTTAGCTGACCCGTTTCTGGTTTCTTTGAGCAACGCAGCTCCACAGTGAAAGCTTCTTTCTACTTCTCGGCAAACATTTCCTGATGCAGTCCCCAGTAAGGCCATGATGGTTCACACTGGGTCTCTCCATTGACATCTGAGACTATTTCTGTCCTCCTCTCCATCCGTCAGTCCAGCACCTTAACTTCCCAATATACTTTCACCTCTAAATCAACCCAACTTCTTTTTAAATGTCAAATGACAGATATATTATCTTTTACCAAGCTTCCTTTGCTTATAAAATCAGTAAATCTACTTCCAGTTCAATGGAAACATCAAAACAGCTTCTGAATTGCTTTTGGGCATAGTAAGTTGTTCCCTTTTGGAAATGAAAGGAATTCCCCATTTCTGGCCATTTTTCAGCAAACTAAAGTTTCAGTCAACATGTTATCCTCCAAACACTCACTCAGAGGGTATCTGAACATAAACCTGTCCAGACGAGCTGCTCAGAGCTCCAAACAGTTTCTGTAATTCACAATTCGGCAATAAGAAATGCTGGTAACTCATAAATATTTTCTCCAGTTTGGCCCAGCAGGTAGCAGGAGAAGCTGCATTTCGCCTGAACATTTTAAAACAACATTTCACTCAGAGATCAGGTCTGAGATCAGCATCATCTCTCCCTGGGCTTTGGTAGCACTCATCTGAAGTTGTTTTAACCAGCACAATGCATTAAACCACAGCTCACTTCACTTTAGGGTTCTTTTTGTCTGAGTTGAGTCAGCGAAACTAAAACCAATTTAAAACAAAACAGATAAACACGAACACATTAATTTATTCTAGTCCAGAAAAGGTCTCTGTAGCGAACCCAGACCTCTCTGCAATTGCTCAATATTTACTATATAAATCAACAAGTCTAAATGTCTTGAGAGGATGCTGATTATTTTGCCCGTTAATCTTTTTGTTACCAACTTTTAACCCCTGAGGGCAGAGAGGCGCCATCTACTCTGGACTGTTTAGTTTCTAATTTCACAGCAAATCACCCATTTATTGAGTCTGCTCGAAAACATTGAGGATATTTGACACAAATAGATAATATATATTAGCATTGGGTCACTAATAGTTACTGTGCTTAAATAGAGGACATAACCTTCCATGTGGTTCCAAGAACTACAATTATACTGAAAAAATATACACAAAAACCCTACATAAGATTTGGACATTAATATGGATGTATATTCCCATAAATCACCAAAATACTAAATAACAAAGAAAAAAAAACAAGTGGTTTCATTTAAGAAACAGAAATCTAAGTAATTAGGGAAAATGTGGCATAAAAAGGATGCAATGAATTAGTAAAGGAGCAAACTGAGCAGAAGATCCTTAAAGGTTTAGACTTTGTTGAAGCATTAAACAGTAAACAAGTCGAAATGGAAACAGAGCCATCGATCATGCTGGTTGGACAAACAGGAAGCCGACAGGTTTCTTCTGATGTTTGGTGCCTTTAAAACAGTCGATTAGCAGCCTGCTGAGACCTTTAAGGTTTAATTCTTAACTTCACTTCTGCTGCAACCAAAGCCCACGAGTAAAATGTTGCTTCGAACCGCTCAACACCCACCAGTTACTTTAACCTTTACATGAAAACTGAGTTTCCTCTCTTTTTCTTTTAATTATTAAACTCTTAAGCCAGAAAAGTGGTGATTTTTACTCTGGTGAACTGAAAATCAGAGCTTCTAACAGAGTGCAAGCATAAAGCAGAATATTACATCACTCATAAATACTTGACGGAGTATTTTCTCAGTACGATAAACTCATGATATACATACAGACTCTCCCTATAAACTTTCAACAGTGCAACGTTTGTTTCAGTTCTGCATGAGAGGCGGTGAAACAAGCCTTTTTTTTTCCACTGTGGAAGGATGGTTCATTTGGCACTTCACTAAACTCAGGTGACTGACTACTATAATCATTAGTGCTTCTTTTAGATGAGATATTTGGGGCAGTGAGTAAATGAAGCAAGCATTCTCCTGCTTCATGACAGCGCTGAACCTCCTTCTACCATAACACAATAAAGTTGATTTTAATAACAGTCTTGAGATTTTCCAATCTCCCTTTTTGCAGAAAAAAAGCCCGACACATGAGGACAGATGGAAACAGGGGGACACTACATATCTAAGCTCTGACAAGTCCATAAATTGGCTCTTTTTTATTTTCCTTATAAATAAAACTGTGGTTATGGAATGAGGAAAAAAAGGGAAGGACAGACAGATGTAGAGCCCTATGGTGGTGTAGCACCAAAAGATGAAGAAGGCGCCCTCTAGTGGAGCGACTGAAGGTTTGGTAGAGGTGAAGAGTGTCAGCAATGTGACCCTTCCATGGAGACTGACACAAAAGCGACAAGCTGAGAGGATTGCTCCTCTCCCTGTCTCAAATAATTTCTTTTGCATATAAAATGTGAAGAAATATTTTTTTAAATCTGGGAAAAGTTCTGAGAGATTGGAGATCATGGATAAATGTGAATCACAGTGTTAACGCAAAGAAGAGTAATGCGTGGTGCACTAAGCTGTATCCAAACATCCTGAGTTATTGAGCTGATCTACTAAGATCTTTGCACTTAACTCTGAGTCCCAGCAAAATGAAAGCAAAGCAAGGCAGCAAAATATCTTCTTCCAAAAGATACGCTGGAGGAAGCAAATAAGAAACATGGTGCCGTCACATTGCTGACTGAGATGTGGCCGTGGCTGCAGGCTGCAGAAGGCGGCTGGAATTAGTGCAAAGGGCACGATGGCAACACACAACGTGTAATCTGTAACGCCACGACAGAAACCGACAACTTCACAAACATCAGCCAGTGATTAAGACGTTTTACTGCATCTTCATGTGCTAGTGGTACGTTGCAGGTTTCCTTGTGCTTTGCTAAACTAGCATCCGAGCTGAAGCTTTTCCTTTTGCATTTAAGGGCAAACTTCACCAAAGTGAACTTATTTAGTCCCAATAGCCCCTTTCAGATCATGGATTTAAACCTGCGAACACCTTCGTCTGAATGCGTTAATATTAATGCTAATATTGATGCCTTGTATAAAACTAATGTACTAACATTGAGCAGAATCCGTTGCACATTGGAAGCATCAAACCAGGAGGAGGATCACCTGTAGTATTTGTGTTAAGTCTAATTGTATTCACATATTTATAGAGTTTATTGTCCCTTTAAAAGGAGACGAAAAAGTGCAAACATTTTCTACAGGGGTGAGAAAAATAAAAGAAAGCAATCCCCTCTTCCCTGAAATAGGGCTTTGACTTTTCCCCTGAATCGTACAAAAGGATAAATTCAGTTTTAAGAGCAGTTGTGGAGTGGAAAACAGATGAAGCTCCGCCCAGTGCGTGTTTTTAAATAACGGTTTTTAAACCACACTTATCAAGCTGTAAGCAAGATATTTGTTAAGCAACCGACTGCAGTAGACGAGCAGAGGAACGAATAATCAGCCACTCATCAACATGTCCCATGGTTACCAAAAAACAGCAGAAGTAACATTGAGCACAATAAGCATTTTTACTTGAAAACTACAAAGTGTTGTAATTAAAAACATAAATTATATCAACACTCACAACAGCTACTAGAAGTTTATTTTCTACAAAGATATGGTAATTTTTTCCTTTTTTTATAACTAATTTGGATGATTTTTATGCCCTTTGTGTTGTAAAATATTTAATAAATATACTATACTAATGAATATGACAAATATTTTCATGTCTATTGGGGGATTATGATCTGAAAGGGGCTACTGAGAACCGTTCAGAAATCTATCATAGTTGGATATTTTCTGCGTCCTTTCAGCAGAACACTGAAGCTGAATCTGCCTCCCATCTGGATCCGGTTCCAACTAAAAGCTAAACAGCTGAAGCTTTCTAATTGACCACTGGACACAAAAGTTAAATAAAAGCAGCATTTTTTTTTGGTTCTCCACTTACGTTCTGAGCAACTAAAACAAATAAAGTTCTCAGCATCTGCTGCTTCTTTCATTTTTCACGTGTTTTATATCGTAGCAGATGGATTTCAGAGCCAAACTAAAAGGTTTTGGAGTTTCTCCAACAAACCCACTGAAATGCACAAGAATGATACCGACTCAGTTTTCTGGAATAATTCTGAAATATATCAAGTTTATGTATAAAACTGTCGTTTTTTTTTTCGTTTTTTTTTTACATAGAAAATGACTAACTTTACTTGATATATTATTTTGGGTAATGAGTATCTTTAGGTTTTCAATCTTTCAACCTTAAACACATAATCAGAGACAAAAAAAAAAAAACACAAATCTGCTTAAAACAACAGGACTCTTTAGAAGAGGAGGGCTGAACCAAGCTTTAATTCACCTTCAGCTAATTATTCATAATATCACTATCATCATAAGAGCTTCAACAACTTCCTGGGGAATAAATGTTGTTACCTGGAGGTGAATCAAAGCTTGGTTCTGGTTTATTTAACAGAGAGAACCTTTAGAAGGATCTAACCCGTATCTACTTCCTGAACTGGAATCGTCTGAGGCCTGTTTTAAAAACATGGCACCTTCTCTCCTTCCTCTATTAAACTTTCTGCATCTTAAGTACAATTGTTGTTAATTTTCATTTTTTTTTAAAGAACAACAAATGAACTGAAGCACAGACATCTTTTTCCGGGAGGGGGGTGAAGACAGTAAATAAGGCGGAGAAGGAAGTAAATAGTAAAGATGTTGGTTAAGATTTAAACCACAGGTTGCAGAAAGACAAACATGCAGTTTAAAAAAAGCAGTTTATGGGTGCATCAGGACAGGAGGTGGCATGTGGACTTTTTGGCTTCATGTATCCTGCTGGATTGGCTCTCTGCTTCTGCCAACCTCGGATTTCCACCAATCAGGACGAGGAGAGTTGAAGGATGGGGAACCTTTAGCAGTTGAGGTAAAATCTGAGTGATGGAGGAAATTAAAAAACAAAGGAGGAGCCGGTTGATGCCAGCTAATGTCCTTCTCTCTGGTAAGGGGAGCTGTTTTCTACCTCCTCCTCCTCAATCTTTACCACCATGGTGGAGGAGGTTGAGAGGGAGGAGGCAGGAGCAGCAGAGGAGGTGGAGGTGGAAGCGGGCGGGGGGCTGACGTCTACTTCCACTGGCGTCAGCGTTATCTCCACCTCGCCTTGCTCCTCGTGCAGCGTGGGGAGGGGAAGAGGGGGGGGACTGAGGTGTGCCGTCGGAGGGGGCGCTGTGCTGCTGTTGTTATTTCCGGGTCTCGGAGCTTTCTGGATGACTTCCACCATGGGGGTCCGGCCGGTCGGGGACAGCTCCCAGCTGGGGGTTCCAGGACTGTGGAAGAGAAGCACGGGCCTGACCTGGCTGTCGGGGTCGGCAGCCCCGCTCGACTGGCACTGCACCACCACGCCGCGGGGGTCCACCAGCCGATGGGATGGATCAGACATGGCCGGCAACTGACCCAGAACCAGCCCCGGCGGTTCTTGGATCACCAGCTCCACCACTGTCTGTGTGGAGGAGGCCAAGGAGGAAGTGGCCTTCTGGATGACACCACCCGTTAACGGGGTGATGATTGGAGGAGGGGCAGCGGTGGCCGGCGGAGGAGGGGCAGCCACAGAAGGAGAAGGAACCGGGTCCTCAGGACGGGGTTTTCTCGGCCGTCCACGTTTTCGTTTAACCGGTGAACTGCTGAGGGAGGAAGCAGCTGAAACGCCAGGAGCGCCGATGGATGACATTTCCCCTTCCAGGGGCCGCTTGGCGGTTGAGCCGCGAGCTTTCTGGACCACAGAGGTCGGGGCCGCCACAGCGTGCTGCTGGGCAGGGAGGGGGGGAGGAGGCGGCGGAGCCACCTTGTCCGTCTCAAAGGACAAACAGCCCTGAGGAAGAATCATCAGCGGAAGAGGCCTGCCCTGCTGCTGGGGCAGGGTTGTCATAGTGATGACCTTCACGCCACCACTGTTTGCAGGAGCGGTAGCAGCGGCGGGGCCTCCATGTGCTGACTGCACCCCAACAGCAGAGGCATCCGTGGCGGTCTGGGGGGGCACCGAGGAGCGAACGGAGAAGCTCTTATCCGGGATGGAGCTGCGAGGAAGGATTCTGGGTAACTGCTTTATGAAGGCTTCCACCTGCAGCACATGAAGAGATGGAGACTCATGTTACCAGATTTTCTGTTTGTCAGAAAAAATGCAGCATATCTGCATTTTGTTCAATGAAATGCTCGAATTGACTCACAGCTTCCTGAAAACCTGCTGCCTATCAGGACAATCAATTCTTTCAAACTAGAAGCAGAATGTTTTTATACCCTGTTACTCTACAAACAAAAAACTTTAAAGAATTAATTTGGTTTTGACATAATTTCAAACCAGATTAGTTTATTTATATAGCATCAATTCACAACACACGTCATCTCAAGGCACTTTACAGAGACAATTCAACCAGATCATACAGTCAGAATGGTTCAATTTTCTATCTAAAGAAAACCAACTGATTGCATCGACTCGTTGACTCGAAGGCAATCCCTCACACCAAGCATCCTTTTAGCGAAAATGGAGAGGAAAACTCCCTTTTAACAGGAAGAAACCTCCAGGAGAAGCAGGCTTAGTGCAACACGAACACAACGCACTTGATTAGGGTTGGGAATTGAAAATATTTTCACGATTCCGATTCCCTTTTCGATTCTATGAAACGATTCGATTCTTTATCGATTCTTTTTTCGATTCCAATTTGGGGGAAAAAGGAGAACAAACAGTTTGATTATCAGAATCAACTTTGTTTACTTAACTATTGCACAATCTTACAAACTCAACAAGATCAAGATGTCCACAGGAAATGTGAAACTGGAGTAACATCTGTGTTTAAATGAAAAATGAATACAAGAACAAACTTAATAACCAACAATGTCTAATAACAAATGATGGGATAATAACCTATTTTAAATAACAAAAAATACTAATTATAAAACAGTAGTAGCACTGCAAAAAATTTTAATCTAAATAAGTCATTTGTTCTTAAAATAAGTTCATTTTTTCTTGAATTGAGTAAGTAAGTGAGACATTTTGCCAATGGAACAAGACAATTTACATTTGAAATAAGAAAAAAACTATTGCATTGTCTTATTTCAAGTGCATATTATCTAATTATCTTATTTTAAATGTAAAAATACTCATTCCATTGGCAAACTATCTTATTTACCTGCTCAAATTAAGGGTAAATACACTTGATTTAAGATATTTTTACTTAATTTCAGATCGTTTTTGCAGTGAGGGAAAATCACAATTCTTTTGCAGAAAGATGAGCATATCTGCTTTTTCTGGAAGGATACGGGATCTTTCAGCGCGTATGGTGTCTCCAGCCGTGGAAAACACCCTCTCAGATGGGGTGGAGGAAGCCTGCACACAGAGGTAATTTTCAGCCAGTCCAGATAGCAAGGGCAGCGTATCTTGCTTGTTCCACCACCACATTGTGGCGCTATCCCTGCAGGGGATGGAGGGCAAGCTTTTACAGAGCTGGATTTCCTGATCTATCCTCTGGGCTAAGGAAAGACGGGGCTTTGATTCACAAAGTGACCGCAGCTCGTTGTCTTCCTCCTCGAATAGTTCTTCCAACTTGCGTAACTTGCGTAACTTGCGTAACTTACGTAAAAAACGTGACGTAAGTCGTGCTCCCCAGAGCCGGCGCTCTAGGCTCTGGTGCTGCGGGAATCGAAAAAAGAATCGTTCAGCGAGCTGCCAAACGATGCCATGGAATCGGAAAATACGGAACCGGTTCTTAACAGGAACCGGTTTTCGATTCCCATCCCTACACTTGATGCAGGACCATAACCCCAAACATACAGCTGGAGAATTAATGCAACGGCTTCCTGATTGTAGCATAATTACATTTTGGATTGGCCAAGTTAAAGTCCAGACCTAATTCTAATATTATATTTCCACTTTACAGGTATATGTGATTTAGTGTTTGTCTGTTACATAAAATCCAGACAAATGTTTCTGGTTTTTACTTAAAAATGGGAAAAAGTTAAAAGGATGTATTTTTTTTCTTTCCATTATAGCTATTTAAATGCAGTTCTGACATAATTTCATACCAATTCCTAAAGAACAAATCATATCATCAAATATCAATTTTTTAAAAAGGCATTTTTTCCATTTTTCTCACAGCCACATTTAACCACCATCAATTCATTAACTTGATGATGAAAGTTTATTTTTTCCTACTTAATAATTTTCCTACTTTCCATGTCTCTATATTTCTCTAATATGTTGAATCTAAGAAACAAAGTAAAATTCAGAGAGTCAAATTGTCAGTGTCAGAATATATTAACCCTTTAAGAGTCATTCCAACAACAGTTGGTGTAAAATGGCTCATAATGTATTGCAGTGTTGGTGAAAATATTCAGAGTTGAAATCGGTTTGGTAAGGACCCTTGATAGTGTAATCTGTTAAGTGTTTAAAAGTTCATTCTTTCAGAGTTATGGTGAAAATGACTCTGAAAAGCTCCGCCCTCATGCTCCGAACAGACTAGAATTTGCTCTGCACCATTTATCTGCTTCTCCTCACTGGAAAACCACGGTAAGTGCCTCGATTTTAACTTTTCCCCCTCAGACTTTCATCCGGATTAGGTCCGAAAAACTTGTTAAAATAACTTTGTTTACAATATAGCTTATATTTTTTATAAATATATAAAATTTAAATGTCCTTTTTCTGTAAATGTATTAAATGATTTAATACATTTACAGAAAAAGGACGCACTGGTAGCTATACACTGCAATCTATTCTTACAAATCCAAATGTATGTGGAATGTTTTCATCTGTCCATATTTCAAAGGTTGGTTTGTATTTAGATTTGATCAGCCTGTTTTCCAGTGTAGTCCTGTTTCTCCGACTGTGACTGGCTGGATGTGCTCTCTTCATCCTCTGACATGGTAGTTGGCTCAGAGCTCGTCTGCCTGGCTGTGTGTTTCCTGGACGCGGACGCCTTTTACAGTCGCTTTTTGTATCTCTGCTTCTGTCTCCTTGAACCCCAGTCGGCCTCGGCAGATGGCCGCTCACACAGAGCCTGGTTCTGCTGGAAGTTTCTTCCTGTTAAAAGGGAGTTTTTCCTCTCCACTGTCGCTACAAGCATGCTTAGTGTGAGGGATTGCATTCGAGTCAATGAGTCAATGCAATCAACTGGTTTTCCTTAGAAAATGACTGTATGATTTGGTGAACTGTAAAGTGTCTTAAGATGACATGTGTTGTTAATTAGCGCTATAGAAATAAACTGAATTTAATTTAATTAAAAAGATGGTCTATATAGGAAAAAATCATCTCTCTCTTTTTTTTACAAGGAGAAAAATGCAATTTTTGTTTTATTCTATTCCAAGTTTTTATTGGTATTTTGTTGATGTAGTGAAATGAATAAAATGATAAGACACGGATATGTTGAGGGTTATTTTTCCTCAAAATTCTTAATCAAGTTTTTGCTGTACACCTTGAGATAAATAAAATTGTACTTTAACACCAAGAGTCAATTTTAACCCTGAGCCCGGGTACATATGGTCCTGTCCTGTGCAGACTGATCTTGGTATCAGATTTTTAGAGTTAATTTTACTCCACTTAGTGTTGATTTTTTACAAGTGTTAAACTAAGTTAACAATTGTCAGAGTAATTTTATTTTACTCTATAACTAAATTTGACTCCTACTAGAGTAAAATTAACTCAGAAATTCTGACACTGTGGATCAGTGTAAGTTTTACACATTGCAGGACCATATGTGACCTGGCTCAGTGTTGAAACTGACGCTTTAAAGGTTAAATTAACACCGCTTATTTTACTGTGCGAAGAAAATAAGAGGTCTAGGATTGTTGACTTACTGCTGGTCGCAGAGATGAAGAGGAGGTAGAGGAAGGAGGAGGAGGAGCAGGAGGAGGAGGAGGGACATCTGCTGAGGAAGGCTTGGGTACCGCTGAAGTGGATTTGTCTCCAGGAAAAAGCTTGGGGGAGGATGAGGATAAATCCAGGTCTTTCTGTAAACACAAAAGCAGGCAGCAGTGAGCAGCGGGAGGAACGGGCAAACAGGTTAACAATCTGTTGGCTACAAACCCTCTGGTCTGCAGCTCCTTCTCCATCAGCTTGAGAGATCACAGGAGTTTTCTTAATGACTTTATGGGTTTTAGCTGGACCACCTGAAAGGAGAAGAAAACAAAGCTCTGGATCATCTGATTACAAATAACACCAGAACAACAACCAGCTTCTATAATATCATTACAGTTCATCTTTAAATTGAATAGATACAACAAAACCAAAAATATTGTCTCTTCTTCTTGACTAAATAGAAAACATTTAAACCACTATTATTATAAAAAGTAAAGCATCCACATTAAACAACCATTACTATATAAGGCGACTTATAAAGGCGACAGTAAATCACTGAAACATAATCACAAACATTTGGCTCCACTATCTGATTTCAAAACATCAAACTAATTAGTAAATAAGCATCATTTCTTTCATTTGGAAGTTTTTCCTCAGGGAATGGCAAAGGAAATCAGTTGAAAACTAATAAGGACATAAAAACGTTGCTTTTTCTCTTTCCATTATAGTTTAAATTGTAAAGAGATCATCAAACAAATTCTTAAATTTAGACAGAACATTTTTAGAAAATGACTTAATTAAATAAAACCACCCTAATTAGAGGTAGACTAATAAATTGGTCGGATGATTTTTTTTTTTTTGTCCAATAGTAGCAGGTTTTTTTAGTCCCTGTATCAGCTGCTACATCCATGTCGTTATTGATTCATTAGTGGATTCAGCAGCCCAACTTAAGATCAAGCAAAGCGTATGCATTGCAGCTTTCTGTTTGCTATCCATGGTTAATGTTCATTTTGATCAGGAAATGTTTCACCTGGTATCACTGCATCATCTTTACCACGTAAATGGAGGAAGAGGAAGCATTTTTTTTTAAGTTAGTTTTCAGCCTTCATTCAATATTTTCCTAACCTTTGTGATTATACGTCGGCTTACAACTAGTTTAATGATACCTGTGTCATGGCCTGAGAGCATCTATCTCAGAACCCAACCGATTAATTTGAGTTTTACAGATTTTAGCGCCTGGCTCATTAATCAGCTTTGGCCAAATATTGTCGCTGCAAACAGCAAATGGTGCAGTGATACGGTACAAAACTAAACGTTTATTTTCAACATTGTCTTATGACGTTATTATAGATTCATTACCTCACCGCCATGGAAATGCAAACAGAAATGTAGTTCAATCCAACTGCAGAGGACCGGAAGTTTAGGATTTTACTACACTGATCTACACAGGAAAATGCAGTCCTTCTTAAGGCAAAGCAATACAGCTTTTGTCCACTGGGGGGAGCCAAAATCAACCAAAACCAAAAGTTCTTTGGAACTCCTTAATAGAAATAACCCCTCCTCATCGATCTCTAATCCTAACCTAAGTGTCACTTTGTAGAAGCCTAATTACTGCTTCTATCAACCTTGCTGGCGAGAGCTGCCAACTAGTGTTAAGATTTACTCTTTTTGTTTTGAAATGTGGTCATTTGGATCCAGTCTTCTTTGGAGAAATGTATAACTAGGCTGCACTAATGTGATTTCAAGCATAAATGTCCCTGTTTTAGGTAATGAATGTAGGATTTAACCTGTGATAGGCCACACAACAGTCTTCTCTTTTTTGTTATCATTAAACCATCAAGAATTTGACTTGCTTGTGTGCTATGTGTACTAAAAATAAGCTTTAGCTAAAAGTCAAAAATTTATAGAAATGTTTTTTTGTAAATTTAAACCAGTGAACCAAAGTCAAACCCACTTTCTGTTCTCATGGTCAGCTAAGAATTTTGTCTGTAAACTATCTAATTGGTGCATTTTCTTTCTTGCTGTCAAATCTTGATCACTGGCCTAATCAGAGTCAAGTTCCTCACAGAAGGACACAATGATTCGGATAACTCTAACATAAAATATTCTAGTGAAGTAAAAAAAAGTCAAACCTGCGAGTGCTGCAGACGTGACAAGCTTAGCCTGGCTGCAGCGAGGGTTCACGATGTGCTCCTGGATCAGGTAGCGAGCTATCTCTACCACCGTGTCAAAGGAACGCTTCAAGATCTTCTGAGCCCAATCACAGATCAGCTCACATGCCGCCTCCGTCACCTCCTGTTTGTAGGTCTGAACCAGTTCAGTCAGCTCCGACTGGAGATCAGGAGCAACAAACAAAGGCAGAAACTCAGTTAAACTAAATTTGGATACAGGTGTAATTTTAACAGGGTAATAATTGCCTTTCAACATTTTCCCAAATGGAGCCATCAATGCACCTTATCTTTCAGCCACAGCAAAAAATTTAAACCTAAGCCAATTTGCCTTAAAAGTAGTGAGGGTTTTTTCTTGTAAGTGAGACATTTTGCCAATAGAATAAAAAATTTTACATTTAAAAGCAGAAAAAACTGCAGTCTCATATCTCAAGTGCATAATATTTAATCATAATATTTTAAGGGTAGAAATACTCATTCTATTGGCAGATCATCTTACATACCTACTCAAATTAAGTGTGAATACACTTAGTCTAAGAACTTTTTACTAATTTCTAGATGGTTTTTGCAGTAGTACACCCGGGATTCATTTTTTTTACTCGGAAAAAAAGATCAAAATGTACCATAACTCTAATCTGTAATCAATCAATCAACCAACCAACCAATTTCTTTACTGTCGACAACAATTAGCATTGTATATTATTTTCGAAAATGAAGATAAAGACTATCTAACTCTATTAAACGGACAAATAAATCCCATTTTTAGCCACAGACATGAACCAATTGTGTCTTCTGTTTCAAAACAACAACAAAAAGTAACTAACCTTCCTTATTTTATATTTTATCATTATATATATTAAAAAAAATGTTAGAACTGTAAATTTACAGTCATTTTTACTATTTTTACTTTTAAAAAAGATGAAATTGTCGAGAGTACGGAAGATGATTAGGGCCACTGAAAAAAGTTTTACAAATTTAGCAGATTTTTACATTTTATCTCAATATAATATGAGAAAAAAGTCAGAATTCTGACTTTAATCTCAGAATTCTGACTTTTTTCTCTGAATTCTGAGCTAAAAAAACATGTTAGCATCAAGCTGTAGCCATGTCTGTTTTAAAGACTCAACTAGGGCTCTTGTTTTAATCACCTTCTGCTCATCCATTAATGAAATAGTATCACCGTTGACCCCTCTGGCACGTAAACCAATGTGTCACTGGCCCTCTCAAACCACTCACATCTTTGTCAGTGAAGCTGAGTGCTTCCACATCCCTTCCTTCATAGTGCCCATCTACATTAAGATCCAAAATTCTGAGATTAAAGTCAGAAATCTGAGGGGAAAAAAGTCAGAATTCTGAAAAAAAAGACAGAATTCTGAGATTAAAGTCAGAATTCTGACTTTTTTCCTCATAATATACTGAAATAAAATTTAAAAATCAGTGAACTTTTTTTTTTCCAGTGGCCCTAATCCTCTTCTGTACGATAGAGCTGTTCCAAACCCTTCTATTTGAACAAATTGTATATATTATATATAAATGTATATAATATATTGTATATAATTTTTGACCAAAGTTATTCAGACCTCAGCTGTAGTTGAACTAATTCAGAGGTGAACATGTTGTAGTGAGCAGAAAGCATTAGAGTCAGTGTGTGAGTACCGGATCATTCTTTAGGTCCAGGTTGGGCAGCAGAGGCATGTTGAGAACCGTCTTCCTCCTGATTCCACTATAACAGTACTTATCAACAGGACAGGTTAAGGAATTTAAACCGGCAACCCCAGCCATCTTTTTTACTCAAAGGCTGGGCATACACTGTACGATATTTCCAATCATTTTACTCAGCTACAGCTCAAACCGCACAATGAAAATGCAGGGTTTAAAAGTCCATAGCTCATGATGTTTTATCTTCCCGACGCTCTCATGCGATCTACCTGCTCACACGGCACGTCCAGAAACCACTCGCCCGACTCAGCACCAGCAGATGGCGCTGGTCGGACTCGGCAATTTGGAAGAAGAAGAAGAACTCCCTTGTTTGCACATGTGCAGTGCACTAGGTTCTGGTAAATGGGCTTGTAGCTCTGCTTCAACAACAGGATTTGCTCACGAACACCTTAAGCAGGCCGACTGAATTTTAAACATGCTTGATTTTCTCCCGACCTTACGATTCCGGAGGTGGTCGTGAAAGGCTGCTCACCCCTCGTTCCCCCCCGGTATACTACATGAAGCAGGAAGCACAATGAGGCTGAAACCCAGACCAATCCAAAAAACTTTTGCAAGACTGGTGAATCGGCCCGAAAAGGGCAAAAACAAATGGCACAAATGGCTATAATTTAGTCATAACTACAGAAAATTAATTTAGGTTAAGAATTAGTTAAAGGAAAGTCCACATCCTTGAAAAATTTAAAATCAACCCATTAAATAAAGTTAGCATCAGTGAAATCTTTAAGAGGATTCAGAAAAAGGTCAGCGGTGGTTAAAAGGATATTTGGACTGTCCTCTGCCCCCCAGTCGTCTCGCCTTGATGTTGGGGAAAATGTCTCTGATGATCTTCCCAAAGTTGGCGGCGCTCAGAGGACGATGCTGCAGGTTCTCACAGTACTTCCTGCTCACAGATGACATCATAATCTAACTGTTCCTCTTTGGGTTTATTATATAGGGTGTCTGTCTGCGTTGTCCCACCTGTACGTCTCGTAGACGTCCTGTTTGGGCAGACAGGTGTCTGAATGCTCCTCCAGGTGACTGCGGATCCAGTTACATGTGTGAAGCTGGTCAGCTGTGGTTAACGAGCTGGTGTCACCGCCACTGTGAACAGACAATAGATCACTGAAGAGGATGTATTAAATTAACCAAGAAAGAATTAAAATGCTTTTATGTTTCCACAAATGGAATAAATATAAAATAACTCTCTGATCAGTTTAGGTTTGACCGCATTCGTTATTATTTATTTCAACCTAAAGATGTTTAAATGTTGTCTGGACTAAAAATTATTTAATCCAAGGATTAATAAGTACAAAAATTACTCTCAATCAACCAAACTCATTTTCATTTGTCAGTCTGGATGGAAGTTAAATTGCCTATAAGCAATTGGTCCTCTCCATCAACAACATCTGAGATACAGTCTAAAACTATTAGTGTGTTTTAGGGCTGGGCGATAAAACAAATACATTCGATTAATGTATTTTTTTAAACGATTTGAAATTTTGCTAAATCATAAAATTGAGGAAATTTCATCTTCTGCATTTTTAACTTGCATGTTTGCTTCCCCCGCCTCTTTCCTCCTTCCGCCCAATAGCATGCTGCACTGTTTACTCACGCCATGACCTCTGCCCAATCTGAAGAGTTAGTACCGAGAAAAGGGACTCATGTTTCATCGATTATTTGGAAGTGGCTCGGCTTTGACAAAGGCCCTATGAAGCAGACTATAGTAGTGTGCAAGGTTTGTTGAAATGCTATCAAAACCAAGACAAGCAGCCCAACTTACTTGTTTCAGCATCACTGACAAAGGCATCCCACAGAATGGGAGCTTTGGGTGAGCAGCGTCGTTAGCGCGGGGGGAGACAAGTTTTTTCTAAAGCGGTGCCATATGACAAGTTTATAGTGCGGCAGAAGCAAATGACCAACACTGTAGCTGTTCATATAGGGATGGACATGTTGCCCATTTACATTAGGGATACACGATATTGGAATTTTGGCCGATATCCGATATTTTAAAACACATGTAGCCGATAACCGATATCGATACCGATGTTAAAGCTGGACAAAAATAAGTAGTCATTGAAAATAGCAGTTTTGTTATCCATTTCTGACACTGAAAAATAATATACTCAAATATATTTTCATATGCTGATATCAAATTGATTTTTAAAAACGCGGTATCGATCTATTTTACTTTCAAAATCTCGTGAAATTTCATCGTTCTGTTACAAACTCGTGATATTTTGCAAATTCTTGTGAGATATTGTTAGTAAAATAAAATAGATCGATCGATAGCTGAAATGGGAAACAATTTGGATAAAATGCAGGAAATTGCAGAAAATTGCATCTTAGAAATACACAGTTTTCTGGGTGAGGACTCCCAGATCTGGACTCTGCTTTGTTATATGCAACTACTACAGACCTTTAGTCCAGTCGATTCCTTCACCCATACATGATTTTAATTGTAAATTATACTGACGTGACCTGGGCTCCCAGCAGCTGCTGTTTACAAACCACCTACTTCCTAGAAGATCAATATAAGTTATGGACTGTTGGATAAATTGCATATTTCAGCAAATGTAGCTCTTTTTTTCTTGCACTTGTACTGAATATATAAGTGTACATTTTCTACTCATAAAAAAATCTGTGCAATTATTGTTGGGTGAACATTTGTGTTACTTGCACAAGATTTATGTTATTAATATTTAAGTTAAATTTTTTTTTTTTTACAATACGTTTAATGTTAATGGTTAAATATTTGTTACTTTGTACATTATATTTTTGAATAAAGTATTTTAAAATACATGCATGTAGTTTTTAATACTTTAATTGAAATCGATTAAAATAAAATACATCCAAAATGACAAAAAAAAAAAAAAAATCAAGATTTTATTTTTTAGCAATATCGCCCAGCCGTAGTGTGTTTACTGCCTGGTCCTGAGTCAATCATGTGAAAGTTGCCACAGTTGCCAAAACGGAGTGCAGCAACTGGTATTCTATGTTGACAAAAGCTAGTTGTTTCTTTCTTTTAAATACTAGGTGTTATTATTACTTATATGCTCATTTAAGCATAAAATCGTAAAAATTGAGAGGGATCTGTCTACATCCTGTAGGACAGAGGCGTGCAGGGACTTCACCTCAGGACACCCCTTGTCTCACAGGCAACGGACAGATAGGCTAGTGAAAATCAGTTATAGACTGCATCTTATTTTGATGACACGGTATACGCCACAACAGGGTGCTCATTTCCCTACACTGGACTTTACAGAAAGAAAAAACAGAAAATCTGAAGAAAGCTTACATCTATTGCTATTTTTATGTTTCTCAAAAATGTTTGACACAACATCTACATAAGTGGCTTAAAATCTGCCACGACTTAAATAGTTTTCTTTTTGTTTCATAATAAACAACTCACGTTTTGTCTCCAGAGCTCGGCCCAGAGGGCAACTGCAGGTACAGGTACAGCTTGTCATTGTCAGAGAAGCGTTGAACGTCTTGCTGTTAGAAAAAAAGACAATAAAGAACTGAGTTGCATTACATCTGCAGAAATATCAGGTCTCTATTAACCACACGTTAAATTTCTGTATAAAAAAGTTCCTACCAAGATTTGATCCACTTTGCTCTGAACAGTCTTACTGCAAGACAAAGAAAGCAGCCGTCATGTACATGTTGGTTACTGTACAAAGAGTCCCAGATATAATCACAATACTAAATAGAGGCTTCCTATATTTAATATTGGAAGCCTATATGCCTTTCTATAAATGCGACATTTGGGGATGTTTTTACGTCACATTTATAGAAATACTTAGACCTCATTAAGAAAAATCATTAGAGTTTAAAGACAGACAGAACTTTATAAATCCCCCCCAAATGGAAAATTCACCTGCCCGATAGCAAAGATAAAAATATATAAAATAGGATAGAAAAAAACACACAAAAAAGAAAAGAATAATAACACACTTTTCTTAAAGAGGCATTAAACTGTCTAATGGCGGCTGGGACAAAAGATCGTCTTCTCACAGAGATCAGTCTTGAACTATGACTGCTTTCCTGAGGCACCATAGTGCTGTGCAATGGATGGCTCCCATTGGCTCTTATGGACTTCATCATTGTCCAGAGGTCGGCAACCCAAACTGTTTAAAGAGCCATACAGGACCAAAAAAACAAAAAATTAATCTGTAAATGTAAAAGTCCTCTATCAGCCTTGTATGGCAACACAGGCTCTAAGTATATATCCCACTATGGAAAATGACTATGTGGCCTAAATATATAATAAGCATTCATGATTAAATGTCAATCCTGGAGCAAATGTCACATAGCAGCATGAGGTGAGGCAGGAGTAGTGAATGCCCTCAACCACTGCCCTTCACCACGCGGTTTGTTTACATTGATGAAATTATAGAAACACGATTAAGGAATCTCTCTATGGTGGACGTGTTTCTGTTGGGAGGAATTGATGAAGTCATGAGGAATCAAGCAGGAACTGACATCCATCAGAGCAGAGCTCTCTAACCGTGAAATCCCACATCCTATGTCATCAGCGTTTCTTTGTGATATTTTTATTTTGAGGATTTGGGGAAAAAATAGAAGAAAGTTCCCATCCCTGCATCAGAGCGCTACCTGTTTGATCTGTGGAAGGATTTCCATCCTTGCAACCAAACCAGCAGCTGTAGTGGAGTTTGGAGATGCAATCCACTTCTTTAATCTATCTTTGATCTCCTCTAATTTATCTAGAAGTTCGACAATCGCACTTTTTCTCTCCCTCCCAGCTTGGTGGTCGGCTGCATATTTAGTATCCCTTGCCTGGAAATGCCTTTCCTTTTTTTTTTTTACAACATCTCAATACAAAGCAAAAATGCATTGATAATGAAAGTAAATATTTCGGTTTATTCTTTGAACCCTCTTTTGTCATCAGCTATCTTCCTTTTTTTCCCTTTGGAATCCATGGCCTTAGACACCCCATCGTTTTTTTTGCCTAGCACCGCACCACGCTGGTTGCAAGTTATGACCACTGATCTCTATGGCTATGACGCAAATTATTGTATAAATTTATTAATAATACAAATGTTTACAGCATTGGTAAAGATAATTTTTGATTGACCTCCTGCACACCATATTAAAACAAACAAAAATAATCGATTTACATACATTCTTAAAAAAACTCCAGGGAGCCTCAAGGGGAACGCTAAAGAGCCGCGGGTTGCCGACCCCCGCACTAGTCCTTTTCTCCGCTAGTTCCTCCATAGCGACTGCCTCCCTACCCATCAGTGCTGCACACCTCCTGATTAACTTGTCTATTCTGCTCCTGTCCCTGCTACTAATGCTGTTTCCCCAGCAGACAACTGCAAACAGAACAACGGTGGCCACAACTGACTGATAAAAGAGGAAAAGCATATCCCTACACACAGCAAACGCCCTTAGTCGTCTTAAGAAGTCGAATCTGCTTTGCCCCTTTTTTGTGTGCCACATTTGCCTCCACCGCCCAGTCCAAGTTATTGTCAAGGTGGCTTATATGCGGAGACCACCTCGATTTCCACATTGTCCATGATGACAGGTCTATGTTGGGCTCTTCTCTTGCTAAAGTCAGGGCCTTTACTAAAAAAATACAAACACTATGAAATAAATGTTATCTGTCATTATTCAAAAGTCTTCTTTTTAACTCCTAGAACCCAATGGACCCACCGGTGGGTCCAGCTGCCACGTGACCTTGTAATTTTAACAAACCCCCAGTATTGATGTAAAAAACCTACAAAAAGCCTAAAAAAGCCTAAGAAATTTCTCACTAATACCATTCTAAAATGAATATGATTCATCTGATTGAGTCCAAATTTGGTATATTTTTACACAACATTTAGATTTAAAAGTCTGTACTTTATTAAATGCAGATAAATAATATTTTGGTAGTGTTTTGCAATGTTTATTTCAAAGAAAATTTTGGCGAGGTTCAAAAAATGTAAAATATTTTGTATTTTGTCCCTAATATTTCAGGCAGGGTCAAAGCTACAATGGTGCTGACACCAGAAAACCATTCTATGACATCTTACCTTTACAGAGGTACCAAAAGTTTCTTCTTAAATCTAATAGCTGTGAGGCTATAAGTGATTTACTTTTGTGTGTTTTTGTCAGGCAGAAATGTATTTATACCCCCTGAGGGTGTAAGAGGTTAATTCCTCAAGCTTAAATGGTTTTTAAAAAGCCGCATTTATGCATTTAAATTAAAACTAATTCACATCAAGCTGACCTCTAGTAGAAACAAGTTCAAACAGCACTAAATAATGAAAACATTTAGAGGTCAATCATCCTACTACAAACTGTAAAATCCTCTCCAGTTTCCTTCCTCTTTAAATGCATTTTCTGCAAAATAGGCAATTCATTTGAATTTTTCATCATATTTCTTTGCATTTAAACAAAAATTTCTACAGCTGTTTTAATGAGAAAAATGTCAAACCATTTGAAGGATGCTCTCATATGAGATGGTAATTAGGTTGACTTACGAGATATTGCTGTTTAGCTTCTGCAGCAACATGCTGGGCTCCGTTTCGCCCTCCCCGGCCTCCAAGCCACCTTTTGCCCGCTGGGAGGCATCAGCCCGCTGGTGCCGCAGGTCCTCTGACATTTGGACCAACTAACCTGCACTGAGTAACATCTGCAAAAGCAATGACATAAGCCGGATATTAAGTTGTCTGTCTGAAAACTTACAATGTATATAAAGAGACAGATTATACACAAGGGGTACTATTTTTTTTATCTGATCCAACATTTTAAAACTAAAGGTTTAGTTTTCATAAAATATTATCAATTAACAGACATAAGGGCTTCAAAACAAGTGTCGGTTTTGTTTTTGTTTTTTGGTAATGCTTAAGTTATTTATTGACTTGAATAAACAAACCTTTCCTCCATATCCCTAATTATGAATTATCACTGTATGCCAGATGTGTTGGGACCAGCATAGGTCATGAACAGATTTGTCAAATTATGATAAAGAGAAAACATCTGTATTGTTATCTGTGGAACTAACTGGGTTTATAAATAAAACATTAAAATGAGAAGTGATGCACGTAAATTCCTGTGTTGATAATTGCATCAAATGAGCAGAAGAAAACCAAGCAACATCCTTTATAGACTCTCTATTTTGAGCTAAATCTAGGCAGAACTCTGTATTTTGTTAGGATAACTATCATTTAAGATGTGTGAAATTATTACACCTTGGTATGGGCTGCCTGTTGCGTGTCAGAACTGATGTTTTAATCTAATTAAGACATTTACTCTGTTTGGATATACAGTTATAATCTTCATTCTGTACGTGGCAAGATTTGGAAATGGAGTGAGAGCGGTGTCCTTCAGCTGAGAAAGAAGTGTAATATTTCTATAAGGATGTCTAATAATCTGCTAATGTGTATGATGTAAAATAAGATGATGTGGCAGACTGAAGATGTATAAAATGCCATTTTAACTGTTAATCGGGGCCACATCCTGAGAGGTGAGCCTGGAGGGGAACAGCTGCCTTCTGTAAACTCTAAGCAACTTCTCTGAGTAAGTTTACAATTTTGTATCAGAATCTGCTGTCATGTCTCATGGTTATTTAATACATATAAGTTATGAAGTGTTATTTAAAGAGTTTGTCCCGAGGGATCTCTTTTTAGGGAAAAGAACCAGAAAGATAGAGCCACACGCTTAACTTTCTGAAGGACTGGTGTGGACATGTCCCCAAATAATTTTGGCTTTTTTTTTCCGTTTCCACTGATTTACTTTAGCCAAAGGTAACAGAGGTTGGGTGCAGCTCTCTGTGTTCAGTGTTTTGAGTATGTGTTTTTTTCCCTCTCTCCTGCTGCTCCCATGTCCCGTATCTCAGTCTAACATAATCGGATCTGTTGCTTTGAGACATCTGATTTGCGGTCGCATTTCACTACTTAGATAGTAGCTACGTGGTAGGAGGAGAGACATACAGCAGCACTCAGTGAATACTAAACAGCAGCTACTTTGATGTTTAAGTAAAAGTTAAGGGGTTGGTTTAAAAATCATCCCATGGAAAAATCGGTTTGTTTGACATATGGAGCTTTTTCAGCTTAAAAAATGCAACAAATTGTAAGTTTACTGTAGTTAGTATTATAATTAGTGTTGCGCCGATGTCATTTTTTGGCCCCGATACCCGATACCTGGCTGTGCAGTATCGGCCGATACCGATACCATAATAATGTACAATAATTGCCATCATGGCTTTGTCAAGCTGCTGCCTACCTTTGTGAAGCAGGAAAAAATCTAATACAAAGTGAATCCAGTAGAACTTTTTAATAAAAAGTTCTACTGGATAATAAAAATAAAAAGTTTTTATTGCCTACCAGGAGTGGGTGACAATAGTTGAATAAACTTATGGCTCTCAAAATGGTATCTGTGCCCTATTTGTTGGTACTCGCCGATACCACCATTTTAGGGCAGTATCGGGGCCCCGTCGGATACTGGTAACGGTGCAACACTAATTATAATAAAAGAAGGTCTACGTTTAGCTCTTTATGACTCCCAGTTACAGGTTAAAATTAACATGTTTTCTTATTGTACAGATAGAATCAGACTGCAGAGCTTCTACACATCTTGAAATTTTGTTTCTGGCATTATTATATTAGTAAAGAGGTTCAAAAATCTTTTTAAACAGAGCATAGAGAGAAGTAAGGAGAGCTGCAGATTTAAAGGTGAAACAGATGTACAGGCATATGCAACATGCAATAAAATATATCTCCAAGTTTACCAAAAAGTTTAAAAGAAAAAAAAAATGCTGTTATATTTAAAATGCAGCATATCCATAATTTTCTGGATGGATGGAATTTAAATTGTACTTCTAGGGATGCATTATTTTGGCATCAGAATCGGCTGTTATTCGTTATTTTTTATATACATTTATGTTTTGAGGCCGTATATACATACAATGCACTAAAAGGAATCTCTCTAAAGATCTATAAATATAAATATCAGTGTATTAGAGTTCTCTTGTGTTCTCAACAATAGGAAAGTATTCAATAAATATATGTTTCAGCTCATTTTTTGAAAATATGAAAACCTAATGAAAGCGTTCAGGTTGAGTAACTGTAGGTCCAGTTACTCTGAGTGTCCCCACTAATTTTCATCGCATAGTTACACCCTTGGATAGAGCGTCAGGGTGCATACACAGAGCCTATCTTTAACAATTGCAAACAAAGATAAATTGATTAATCTGCTAGACACAGGGACAGAAGAGCATCAATGTGAATAAGCTCAGATATCTGATGCAGCACAGAAGACCGAGTATGTTCGCCTCATTTTAACATCCTATCATGCTGTAGTTAACACCAAAATCCAAGCCGGTTCCGCTCTGACCGGCTGTAATCATTAAATAAGGGCCGCCGGCTGCCGGGTAAAGACACAAGAGAAGGTGTTGGAGAAGGGAACTATAACAAAAGCGGGAGGATTGTTTATAAAAAGCCGCCCGTTTCCCGGCCATGGCCCCTCCTTACACCCGCTGGCTTTAGCTGGAGTTGTTGTCGCGCCAGAGGAGCTCCCATGTCAGCTCTGACTGCTGTTTACAGCGGACGCAGCGCCGGTGGTCATGTGCCTGCCATTTACTACACAGCACACTGAGACGCAAGTCTACATGCTACTGCGGAGCTAACTGGCTAGCGGGCAACACTGTCATATTTTAGTTTCTGAAATAACGCTAAGACATGATTTTATTTTATTTTTTGCTCTAATGAGGAACACACTTAACAGACACTCGAAAGTGACATAGTATAAACATGCGTTTAACAACAAATGCAGATATTAAATCCACTATCGACGTTAGTTAGCTAGCTGTGAGAAGCCACACAGTGTCATTAGCATTAGCTAGCAAGCGATGAAAGCCCAACCAAACCCATTTATGAGCGCTATTTATGATTTAAAAATAATTCAAGCTAATAGGTTATTAATTATAGTATTAATGTATGTAAGAGTTGGTGACTCGTATTACAGTATTTATTTTAAAAAAGAAAAAGAAAGTACCTGAACCAAGATACAGCAAAAATCCCCTTTCAGATTTTTTTGTGATTGGATGACTTTGCTATGTCTGCCTGACTACAAAGGCAACGTCTATTCCGATTGGTCCATGATAGAAAATCCCCTTGGATACCAAAATTATGCACAATTTGATTGGTTAAGCGGAAAAAAATTTTCGTCACACATTATTCTGATTGGACAATGTTTTCTGGTCTACCCAGTTACAAAATAGACGGTTTTATCTTAGGAAACTTACCTAGTAACAGCCACCACAACAAAGATGGGGCGAGGGGGCTTAAACAACGAGCAGTCATGACATACAATATTTTACGTCCCTAATCTCTGGTAAATCAATAAGTCAAACTGCTCAGTAAAATATTCCAATTTCAGCAAAAAACATTGAGGGAGGTTACAGAAATATAAATCAGGAATGCATAAATTTGGCTTTTCCAAGCTAATACCCTTAAGTGTTATTGGTTTCTACTGAGTATAACACTTCAGTTATACAGAAATGTATGGCCTTCATAACAGCAAACAATATTGGGCTATGATAAATGCTGTAAAATGGGACACGTTATATACATTATCATTATATTGTAAATATGTGATTTCTTTATTTATTTTTGCAGTCTTAATTAGATCCAGAAGGTGATAGTGGTGCTTTTACCCGCTGTACAGTGGCTTATATATAGAAGCTGATAAAGTTTTGCTTCATGTTTGTATAAGACATATTGGGATTCTGCTGCACACTGGATGAAATTATTATTACTATACATACAAAGAAGTATCGTAAACAGAACGGGACAGAGGGAAAAAAGATATTCCCCTAAATGTGGCGGCAGTGGTCTTCCATACTGAACCGTGTTTCAATAAGGAACATTGCTGCCACATCTAGGATCAAGGGGATGTTCCTTCAAATTGACTCTCATTCTGTTTAAGATCCTTTTCAGTGTAAGCACATCAAAAATGATCAACTTTTTATATAGCTACTACTTTTGTACAATATACTTAAGTTTTGAGCATTTAAAAATGTATTTTTCTGCTGTAACCATAATAGGCTTCCATACAATTCCAATTGTGACTGACTTACCTTTTTTTTTTTTTTAAGAAGTGCAAAAAAAAAATATATATATATATAGTGGCATTTTTGTGTCTTTCCCAATTGCTGAATTATAAGATGAAATTTTATCCCTATTTATGCATCAAAGCATCACTCAGCCAAAACACTTAAAGTTGGTCCAGTGCAATGCAGAAAAAAATATATCCTATGAGATTAAAAATACAATTATTGTACATTAATATCAGACAGCTATAAAACACATATTTTTTTTGTATAAGAAAAAAAAAAGAAAAAAAGAGAGACACACAAATAGTTTTATTTATTTTATTTATTGTATTTATTTTCCATTATACAAAAGTGACCATTAACAGAAAAAGAAACTATACTAGATAGAACGGTTGGATGGTGGGAAGTTAGTTTAGATGCAGCAAGAAATTGTTCCAGCTTGTCTTCATTCAAACCCGCTGCAGAGAAACAAGACAAACAAAAATCAATGTCGATATTATTTTTCGCCATTTGAAAATTAGTTATGTTATCCTAACAAGGTGTAAACACGGGCAGGTAAACACCCACCTAACCAAATGAGCGATGTCCCAGTTAGTTTCTGATGAAAGGGGACCAATGATTTCCACACCCTCCTCGGTCACAATAGCTATCTCATGCTGAAAAAAAGGAAAATATTGAATTAGCACATTCATTAAAAGCAAAATCCATTATTCCCCCAACCCGAAACTTTAGAAAGAACACTAGTTTTCTTTGGCTTAACTGACCCTGTTGTAGGAGCGAGCGTCTCTGTAGTACAGCACTTTGAGGCAGCGTTCCACAAGATCCCGAGCCTCCTGTTTGGTGATCTCCACCTTATTCTCCACCACCTCTCTCATCAGGGGCTGAAAGCATGCGCACACAAACCATAAGCTTAACTCAGATTTAACAACGTCCCGTTATTTACATTCATCTCGAAAATAACATTATTTACAAGCAACACTTCCAGTTTGACCAGAAATCAAACATTGGCCACATTTCACATTTTCACTTCATGTAACAGAGAGCAGCTACGGTATGTGGACTGGCACAATTATCACAATATCACTTCTCAGTAGGGGCGAATAGTCATTTAATATCGATTTACATCGCAAAATTATTTGGTGACAAACACTGTAATCACCGACTATACAGTGTTAGACAATTCTTATCTATGCAATTGGTTCAAATTATTTTAAGTTGTATATTGATATTGAACCGTCCAGACCAAAGGTGGGAAATTTATATTGTATTATAATATAAACATGGCAAAACAAGCTTTACCAGGCTTATTTTGCAGCGTTCTGAGCAACCTTTGAGGCTTTTATTTGGCTTATATCAATGTTACATTGTATCGACCAGAATTATTCTGAAATACATTATATATAGGTTTGGGCAATATTGGCCATCAAGATAGAATATTCTTCTGCCTCAATGCAATCAGGTGGACATCTTTAGGTACCAGACCATTTATCAGTTAGCTTCTCATCAACTTAAGTTGAGATTAATCGCATCATAACATTCCGTAAAATGAAACGGTATTTGAACGAACCTACCTGGCTAAACGTAATCTAAGTACCTTAAGATGACCTTTGCAGGGATTAAAGCAAGAAAAAAATCCTGAACACGTGTGTGTGTGTGTGTGTGTGTGTGTGTATTTTAATGCCATGCCAGGTGAATGTGGTGGCATGGGATCAGATTCCATGAATGATTTAGACTAAATTACCAAAATACCAAAAACGGCCAGAAGATGGCAAAAGTGCATCTACATCTACCACATGCATGTACCACATTTCTTTTGATATCCAGTTTTGCTGCTCAGCGTTTCTGGAGCACAGAGTTCAGAAGCAAGCGCCTGGTTCACCTAACTTCCTGTACCAGCTGCTAAATGGCTTGCCATCTCGCCCCTTCTCCTCCAGCCATTGCCAGCACCATTTATTTTTGAAACCTTGTGACATCTTCCCCAGAGTTCATGAACTGCATTTTGCCCACACCATGCATTTCCATTCTCTCTAGCGTCCTTCTCTCCAAACACAAAGTTTGATTGATTTATATTTTTTTTTACTTTTTATACGTCTCTCCGTTAAATGGAACTGTAAACAGCGCACGGTGACTTTCCATGTAGAACTTCAGCACTGTACCACACTATCTGGCAAACTGAAGAAACGACTTCAAGAAACAAGAGGAGGAGGTAAACGCTTCCCTAAGACACGCCCCCTCCTTCTATTGATTGGCTTATACTGTTAGTTTAAGAGCTCTCCTTTGCTACCATTGGTTGACAAACGCAAGAGGGATTTAGATTGTCTTTTTTTTTTAACTTATTTACCATCAATTTATTTTCAGGTAATTTTGTTTTACCCACTGGCAATCACTACAGGCCGGAATACTTTAATCCCTGCATTTGTTGCGACCAGGTGAATAAATAAATTATCTAACCTGAATTGAATTCTGCCAGACTGTTCTGATTGAATGAATTTCTGATGATCTCATGTTTACTCACATTTTTCCCTTGATAGCTTAGAAAAAGGCTGCAGTTTTTCATATTTCAAACAGGGACTAACCTGAGCCAGATACGCTCCAAAACCAGTGGCAACTGTGGGAGCCTCATAAGCAACACCCAGCTTGTCCACATAACCCAGGAAACTAGAAGAGGAGGAAACATTTTGGATGTTAATCATGCTATACAAACCAGCAGTAGGAGAAGACTGTAGCAGCTGGTGCATTGACTGGGTTTATAGACTATATCAACCAGTAGAATGACCGCTGTATTAATTATAAAACAAGTGATTACAGATTGGTAATAAGTAAATTCACTTGTATTCAACTAGAGTAAAATGTTGTATTGACCCTTACGTGCAAAGCACAAGTTTTCCTGTAATACCCAGAACCCTCACCTCTCCCCATTGTAGAAGCCTCCAATGACCACTGTGTTCCACAGAGGATTCATCTTGCTGCGACGGTTGTACATAACTCTGGTCAGCCAGGAGTGGATGGCCTTGGGACTGTAGCTGTGGCCGTCACCCAGCAGCTCCTCATCAACGCTAACAGCAAAACAACATTTAGATGCATCGTTAAGACAGAGTCAGCAGGCTGAGTACCTCAGTCACTGATTAGGAACTTACACCATCTGTTCAATGACCTGCTTCAGGTACTGATAGTCAGCATAGTCCCCAGATGCTCCGAGGATAGTGTTGTCATTCACCTACAAACAAACAGAAAAATAATCAAATATAGTTTTCAGCTATCAAATTTCTCTTTTATGTCATTAGCAACACTAGTCACCTTCATAAGGCGGGAAATGTTTCTGAATCGAGCCAGAGAGCCATAAGAACCCAGCATGTCAGCTGCAATGATAACCCCGCCGGTGAACTTCACACCAAGCACTGATGTTCCAGTTACCATAGGGTTTCTGAAAAGAGAACAGTTACTGTTACCTACAAATCTCCACTAGAAAATTCTGTTTCTCACCAGCTCAAAAATTCAAGATCAGGGGTCTTCAACATTTTCCAGGCCAATGACCCCCAAACTGAAGGCGACGTGGAGCGGGGACCCCCTAATTATATATATTGTATGAACCTGTGTTTCAAACTGGTCCTATCTTTACTCTATTACAGATGGAGTAATGTGACGAAAGTAATTTCTCCCTGGGATTATTAAAGTATTTCTGATTGTGATTCCTGGTTATTGGAACAGGTGTTGTGAATGAAACGGTGCCCAGCTTGAAAGAGCTCTTGTTTGTTGCTGAATGTGTTCATTGATGACTGAAAGACATCTTCTGCCTCCATTTATCTGTTTACTACAGTGTGTTGAATTCATGTTAGTGTATTTAAAGACACTTCAATTAGTGTAAATAATTGGAGGGGGGAATATAAAAAAAAATATAAATAAAAAAGGCTAATCAACTAAAACTTTCATGACCCCCATGCTGTACCTCTGTGAACCACATAGGGGTCACGGACCCCTGTTGAAGACCTCTATTCTAGATGGTTCCCACTCCTATAGGAAGGTAAAAGTTATAAACAAAATTACACAATTCTCATCCAATCAGTGGTAAATGTGGTTGACATTACATTATTTTTCTACTTATCTATTCTTTATCATCATATGACTTATTCCTGGATAAGTACCTGGTTGGTTTTTTTGTGCATGCATGCTCTACTACAGGTTCATTACTATTTTTCTGTCATGCTCAGTATGAGAGATGGCTGCCGAGTCAATGACAACAAACCTACTGTTGCTATGCGCCCCTTCATTAGTGAAAGCTGCAAGTCACTAACCGGAGGTCATCAGCAAGGTTTCCTTACTTTAGATTTTTTTTTTAAGATTTAAGAATTGAATTGGCTGCATAGTTTGATAACTAGGGTCAAATTAAAATTGTGTTCAAGATGCACTTAGCATGTATTTGGCTTGATCAGTGTCTACATGTATATAAACTAAGGGAAAATCTTTTTACCTGCGAAACACTGACTACTCTTGAAAATCTGCTCATATAGTGTTTAAAACAGACAACCCTACATTAAAAATGCATGCAAGATTGTTTCTCATAGTGATCCGCCTTAATATGTTGCTAAACCATTTTAATAATTGCGTTAAAGACTGAACGTCGTCTTTGTTTGAACTCAATAATATAAAACTATCTCTTAGGATAGAGTTTCATCACTCCTTAGATGGTTGTATGATGATTTGAATGTAATATAAGAACTAAATATGTGTTGAATCAGTTGATAATGTGTGTATTTATACATATATATGTGTATATATACGGTAACAATAGCAAATTGTTTAAACTAGCTTAGCTAACAGGTTAAAATTAGCAGAAGTAAAAAAAATAATTAAATAGATTACCTATAGATAGATAACCGGTATTATCAAGTTCATTTACTTAGCAAAAGTCTCTACTACTTCTTTGGAATCTAAAACCTCATTATTGGTTTAACCTATTAAAATGTTTTAGCTTCAGTTAGCAGCCATGATGATGCAGCACAGCAGCGGAGTTCAAACCGAAACCAATACCAACTTTTCGGCTTAAACGAACCTTACGGTTCGAAAACAAGTGTATACTTACAGCGTGTGTCTAACCGGGCCACATGATGGAGCGGTACCGGTGCTACAAGTCCCAGGGAAGTTGTAAAACTGCCCAGGCTTTGGCCCGTTTTCCCAGAAATTGAGCTTCACACCACTGGACTCCATGTTGAATATGACGGAAGTGACGAAGCAGATGCTACTTCTTCTTCTGGGGTTTGGAGGCTGGAGCTTCACTTCCACAGAGCCACACAGAACATGGAGGATTTTATTCAGTTGAGGGGTTTTAACTAAATTTAATGTACTGTGTCAGATGAAGGGCAGCTACAATTTAACAAGGTGCCACTGGTTTTACACCAATAATTTATTAAATTATATGAATTGTGTGCAGAAGGTGTGCATACTGCCACCTACTGTACATGAGTGAGTAGCATCATTACATCTATTAAATTACTTTTTTTTTTTTTTTTGTATTCTGAAGATAAATAAATAATGCTTTCTGCCGAGGCCGACTGGGGTTCAAGGAGACAGAAGCAGAGATACAAAAAGCAGCTGTAAAAGGCGGCCCCGTCCAGGAAACACACAGCCAGGCAGAGGAGCTCCGAGCCAGCTCCCATGCCAGAGGACGAAGAGAGCACCTCCAGCCAGTCACAGTCAGAGAAACAGGACTACACTGGAAAAACAGGCCGATCTCCAACATCTATAAACAAAGGTGTTGATGGCAGCAGCACAGCTGATATTTCTCTCCAGGATGGCATCACGGCCAAACAGGAACAGACGAGGCAAAGCTACTAGGCTATGAGAAAAAGCAGAGAGAGCAGAACGTTAGAGATTGAACTAACAGACAAATGAGGAAAATGTAAACATTTTTAAAGAGAGCAAATTTAATTATAAAGGAAGGGAAAGGTTTTTTGGTTCAAAATGGGAAGCTGGATAGATTACCATCAGAAAAAGGAATAACAAAAAAATCAAGAATTCTAAACAATATAATAAAAGATCTTGGTTTAATAGATGTATGGAGGATGAATCATCCAAATGAAAAATAATTTACATTTTACTCTAATCCTCATGATAGTTATTCTAGAAAAGATTTTATGTTGGTTTCGCAGCAAAATGCTTGTAAAGTGATGAGCAGTGGAATTAAACCGATTACAATAAGTGACCACGCATCCATTAATTTTACAATAGGCCTGGAGAAAGACCCTCCCTATTTCAAATATTGGAGACTTAATGTGTCAAACAGATAAGACAGTACTTAAGAAATAAAACAATGTATTAAACAATATTGGGAAAACAACGACAATGGAGAAGTAAATTCAGCAATATTATGGGAGTGCTGTAAAGCAGTAATTAGAGGAGAAATCCTTGAAATTACATCCCGCATGAAAAGAACAAGAGAATATGAACAGAAACAGTTAGAGAGAGATATAAAAAAAATGGAAAAGGAACATGTAAAATTAGACAAATCTGTAAGGTTAGAACTAGAAAATAAACTATATAAGTTAGATCAACTGTTAACTTTTAAAGCAGAATATGATCTAAGATGTATAAATCAAGTGTACTATGAAAAAGGTAACAGCATCTAAGTTATTGGCATATCAATTAAAAATTAACTATTAAACTATTAAAAAATGAAAGAGTAACAAGAGTCCTGGAACTGATGGGATTCCGGGGGAATTTTATAAGTGTTTTTTTGAAGATATAGCACCATTATTAAAAAGAACCTTCAATTATGTTCTAGAATCAGGGAATGTACCAGAATCATGGTCAGATGCTGTCATTTCTGTCTTGCAAAAGGAAGGAAAAGACCCCAGTCAGTGTGGAAGTTATCGTCCTGTTAGTTTACTGTGTATTGACTTAAAAATATGAACAAGTATAATGGCAAATAGAATCCAGAAAGGTATACAAAAATTAATAAAACCGGATCAAACAGGTTTTATACCTGGGCGACAGGGCTCTAAAAACATCAGAAAAGCTCTAAATCTCATGTCATGTGCCAGATTATGTGCAAATACAAATATGTTTTTAAGTTTAGATGCTCAAAAAGCATTTGACAGCGTAAAATGGAAATATTTATATTATGTCTTGTCCGTGTTTGGATTTAATCCAAAGTTTATAGATTGGATTAAACTGGTCTATAAGGATCCCAAGTCTAGAATAAGGGTTAACGGACAATGCTCTGAATTCTTCTGAAAAAGAGGAATAAGACAAGGGGATTGCTTAAGCCTGTTACTTTTTGCATTAAGTATAGAACCCTTAGCTGAATATATTAGACAAGATGGAAATATCAAAGGAATCAGAGATGAGGGAGATGTAGAGTCAAAAATCTCCCCGTTTGCTGATGACATTCTTCTATACATAAGTGAACCAGAAACAACACTGCCAATTCTAAATGACATTTTAAAGGAATATGAGATTATTTCAGGTTACAGGTGAATAATGAACCCAAATCAACTGCTATTTCAGGGAACTGTTCATTAAACATAAAAAAAAAAGTTAAATTCAAATGGACAAAAGAGGGATTCAGATATTTGGGCATTATTCTAACACCAAAACCATCTGATCTCTTTACAGCAAATTTTACTAAGATCATAGGTGAAATCAGAAAAGATTTGACACGGTGGAATATACTTTCTCTCACATTAATTGGACGAATAGAAGTGGTAAGGATGAATGTTCTGCCTCAGTTATTGTTTCTGTTTCAATCCCTGCCTATCCTTCTTCCAAAAAACATGAACTAAACTTGACAAAATGATATCAAAATTTATATAGAGAAACAAAAAAACAAGAATAAGGTACACATTATTGCAAAGCCCAAAATAAAAAAATGAGGATTAAAGCTACCCAATATTAAGAAATATTATTGGGCATCACATTTTAAAGTAATAAAAATATGGTTAGATAATATGGAAGAAACAGGATGGAGGGAAATTGAGCAAAACTCATGCCCGAAGATACCCCTCAACACTGCAAAAAAGCCAACTTGTATTTTTTGGCCTATACCAGTCATTTAAGTTGGTTAAACTTGAAAATATAAATTATTGACATTTGAGGCAATAAAAATAGTTAGCACAACAAAACAAGCCAGTTGTGTACTCTAAAACAGTTTGGTGAATTGGTAATACGTCAATCTTTAAGTTGGATGGATGTGAATCTAAGTTGTGTTGTGCATTATTACATGTCGTTTAATGAAGAAGGCGACATACACATTTTTAAGATTTAAACACCAACAGCTTGCGGCTAACTTATGCTAATAGCGCTGCATAAGTTAGTCGCTAGCTTGTCTGTGCAAGTCCCATAAAACAGGGTAGGCATGTTATTGTGTGGTTGGTACAGGGTTAGGATTTATGTAATAAGGATTATTCCATATCAGAGTTAATATCATCATAATAGTATAGGGTTAGGAAAGACCAATTCACCTTTATGTGTCACAGGTTTATTGACTGCTATGTTTTACTGACTGTTGACTTTCTTAAGCTCGACTGTTGTAGGTGTTGGTTGGTTAAGTAGTGCCCTTAAATAATATAAGCTAATTTTAAATAATCTTATTGCAATAAAAAAAAAAAAAAAATTTAACGGACAGAATATTACATTTCCACTCTTGTCAACCTTAATGTCCAATCTATTCTTTATATTATAATTAAATTGATAATATATTTAACATTTTTGCTTCACTAATCCCTAGCAAATTGTAATCTTTGTTTTCCAGATTAAATCAATGCAGCGCAAGTCCTGCATGTTTAGCCACGCCGTTGAAGCTGTTCTACTGAAACACTATCAAGGTTCAACCTGGCCTTGCATCCAAAGGAACTGCTGTTGCACTTTTAAAACCTTTAGTGCTCCTTCAATTAATCCATAAGTTAACTGATACTTTTGGGATTCGAATGTTTGACCTCTGAAAGGTTCCTTCTGTCCAGCCAACCCATGTTAATTTTCTCTTCTTGTTACTCTTTATTGGGTTTTCCTTAAATATGTTACGTGTTACGGTTCAGTGTTTGTAAAATGGCACATAGTATTGAGCAGTGTTACAAAAGGATGTGCTAAACAATGTAGCACATGTTGACTGGGACAGTTGGGTCTCATTAGTTTGCATTTACCTGGCCCTGTTGGACGGGCTTTGATCCTGGTACTGGTTAAATAAAACAAAAGTTTTGAATGTACAGGTGCTGGTCATAAAATTAGAATATCATGAAAAAGTAGATTGATTTCAGTAATTCCATTTAAAAAGTGAAACTTGTATATTATATTCATACATTACATACAAACTCATATATTTCAGATGTTTATTTTGTTTAATTTTGATGATTACAAATGACAACAAATGAAAATCTCAAATTCATCATATCAGAAAATTAGAATATTACTGAAGACCAATAAAAACAAAGGATTTATAGAAATGTTGGCCAACTGAAAAGTATGAACATGAAAAGTATGAGCATGTACAGCACTCAGTATTTAGTTGGGCCTCCTTTGGCCTGTATTACTGCAGCAATGCGGCGTGGCATGGAGTCGATCAGTCTGTGGCACTGCTCAGGTGTTATGATAGCCCAGGTTGCTCTAATAGTGGCTTTTAGCTCTTCTGAATTGTTGGGTCTGGTGTATTGCATCTTCTTCTTCACAATACCCCATAGATTTTCTATGGGGTTAAGGTCAGGAGAGTTTGCTGGCCAATTAAGAACAGGGATACCATGGTCCTTCAACCAGGTACTGGTAGCTTTGGCACTGTGTGCAGGTGCCAAGTCCTGTTGGAAAATGAAATCTGCATCTCCAAAAAGTTGGTCAGCTGCAGGAAGCATGAAGTGCTCTAAAACTTCCTGGTATGTGGCTGCGTTGACCCTGGACCTCAGAAAACACAATGGACCAACACCAGCAGATGACATGGCACCCCAAACCATCACTGACTGTGGAAACTTTACACTGGACTTCAAGCAACGTGGATGAAGTGCCTCTCTTCTTTTCCTCCAGACTCTGGGACCTTGATTTCCAAAGGAAATGCAAAATTTACTTTCATCAGAGAACATGACTTTGGACCACTCACCAGCAGTCCAGTCCTGTTTCTCTTTAGCCCAGGCAAGACGCTTCTGACGCTGTCTGTGGTTCAAGAGAGGCTTGACACAAGGAATGCGACAGCAGAAACCCATGTCTTTCATACGTCTGTGTGTGGTGGTTCTTGAAGCACTCACTCCAGCTGCAGTCCACTCTTT